GGTCCCCTTGGTGTGGAGTGGCAGGGGAGACTGGGGTACAGGTACTGCACTGTGCTGGGAGTCCATGGCCTTGGGTAAGTCACTTCGTGACATGGGGTGAAGAGTGGGGGTCTTGCTGCAGGGGGGGCAGAAATGGGGACAGGAACCAAGAGAGAAGTCACTGTGCTGGTGACAGGACCTCTGCCTCATCTCATTCCCTGGGTGGGGTGTCTCATGTGTCTGACCACCAGTGCTCTCCAGGACCTCCACCAGTGCCAACGGCCTTTTCCTGGGGAGGTGCCATCCATCCTGCCCTCACCTGGGCACACACTGCCCAGGAAGTGCAGAGACAGGCACAGCCTGGAGCTAACTCATGTCTTTCTTTGTCTTTAGGCAGATCCCAGTGGGTGACACCCAAAATCAGAGCACTGTTCAAGAGATTTGCCAAGGTGAAAGGCTTCACCGACGAGATGACCTGGATACTCCCCAGGCAGGGTGAGCACTGCCCAGAATTGATACAGAGAGCTGGGACATGCCAGCAGGGACCAGCTCAGCCCATCACTGCAACCACTTTGTGGTCTGAGCTGGCAGGAGAGAGTGCTGGCAGCTAGAGGCACTCTGCCTTGGCACATCATGGCTTTCTCCTTGCTCAAGTTCATTCTGGGTTGTCTATTTTGGGTGCTAAATAGGACTAGTCAGACCACAGCCCTGTACTCAGGCTTTCTCTTTCCTTTCACAGGGGAGTGCCGCCTTGATGAGCAGTAGGTGAGTTGCCACAGTGTGACACTGTGTTTGCAATGTCCTCAGCTGGAAACTGTCCCCCTTGGTGCCTCAGCAAGGGCCACCATGACCTCTTGGAATTCCACTGGGGTTGAGCTGTTTGAATCTGTGGTGGCGCTCACACCCAGGTAGAGCCATTCCCTTGGGTGCTGCTTTGCAGTGAGGAACTCCAGGGAGCAGTGCCCAGCCCTGAGCAAGGGCACGTGAACCAGTGGAGAACCAGCTGCAAAGCCTCTCCAGCAGTGGGGACTGGGATCCCAGCTCCTGCCAAAGGGATCTTGGGCTTGTGGACCAGCAAACCTGGCCAGAGTGGGTTGGTGTCTAACCATGTTGGCCCGCCCTGGCATGTGCTTTCCCACCACATGGATACACACAGCTGTAGGTGTTAACTGGGAATCCATTGCTGGAGAAAACTCACCCTGCAGAGCTGGGGAAAACTGGAGCAGGATGCACTGATCCTGACAGAGAGCCCTGCATGGCCACTCTGTCGGACTCCTGGACTCCTTGCCTCACTCACTCAGTCCTCCTCTTCCAACTGTTTTCCAGGAGATGTGAGCTGGCTCATGGATGCTCCTGCCAAGCAATGCAAGACCATTCTCTGCAGCTCCAGGCTGCTCTTTCACCATCCCTCTTCTGAGCTTTGTGGTCAAGACTGACGCATCTTCTGCTTCTCCAGCACACAGTCCCTACTTTTTGCCAAATAAACAGAAACTCACTCCAGATCTTGGTGTAGCTGTCTAGGGAGAATCTAGGGTGCTGACAGGTGTGGTCTGTCCTGTTGTTCTCCTGGGAGCTCTGGGTGGTGAGCAGCCAGGGTCAGTCCTGGGCTGAGCTCATTCAAATGAGGGTGGTTTCAGAACCCACAAGATTTTCCCTCCTAGGTGGCTGCCATGGGGCAGGACCAGGCCAGGCAGAGGTGAGGCAAGGGGTGCAATGAGGCTGGAAAGCCTGTGGGAATTGAGGGGCTGCATGGGGAAAGGCCACAGAGAGTGAGCTCGGAGTTGGGAGGGTTGCACCCACCCTTACCATCCAACACCTTCCCTCCACTCACCCTGATGTGACTGCAGCCCTCTGCTCCCCAGGAATTCATCCATCAGCTCAAGCTGAACCAAGGCAGAGCAAGGCTCAGATTTGGGACCTCTCAACCTTATGGTGCTGCAGGCCTGGTGGAAAGTGGGTGTCTGAATCCTGTAGACCCAAACCTGGAGAGCTGCTCGTGGTTTATGCCTTGGGCACTGCACAGGGAAAGACCCTGCTGGAGCTGGAATATCTGGTGGTGGTGGACGTGGTTGCCTAGAGAGGCTGTGGCTGCCCCATCCCTGGAAGTGTTCGAGGCCAGGTTGGACAAGGGCATGGAGCAATCTAGTCTAGTGGAAGGTGTCCCTGCCCATGGCAGGAGGTGGAACATGAGCTTTAAGATCCTGCCAACCCAAACCATTTTATGGTTCCTCCTCCCACAGACCAGGAAAATACATTTGGGAAACTGCCTCTCCTGACCTTGAGAATCACAAGAGCTGGATGCACCCCAGCAGCAGCAAGGCAAGGGATCTCACTGGGACTTCCCAACCCAGTCCACCTTCTTTCCAAAGAACCCGGTGTTCTCAGAAGGGATTTTCCCCAGCAGTTTGGACTGGAACAGTTTAGCATTTGCTGCACTGCTGGGAGAACCCAGCCCACACACAGATTTGCCTCTAGGCTTGTTTTCAGGACATGTGCTGATGCAGATTAAAACAACCTGCTGCCAGTAACGCCCTTCACCACGGGCTCTGTGTGACAGGGAGTCCCAGTGTCTCCACAGTGTGTTCCAGCCAAGCGTTTCCTTCTTGGCACGTGCAGGCATCTCCCTGCCAAACAGCCATGAGATCATTTCTCTTTGCCACTGGCACTTTCTACTCCTCCTTTTGTCTATTTTTTCCCAGAGCACACAGGATGACATTTCAGATCTTGTCTGCGTGTGTCCTCTCCATGAAGAGCAGGTGGTGGGTCCCCATGCAGCCCTCCACAGCCTCTCAGCCCTCCCATCAAGGCTGTCCCTGTCCCACTGCTCCTTCAATGCTCCTTTATCTCCCCAGCAAACCCAGCCAGATGTCATTGTATATCTGATAACATGGGACTTTTCTTCCCTGAATGTTTCTAAAGGCTTCCTGGGGTGAGACACTCACTCAGCACTGGTGGCACACTGCAGTGAGGAGCTTCACCACCTAAGTCTGTTCTCCCTTTTGCTTGTTCTGGTGGTTCCATCTTTAGCTTCTTGGTCAGGAGCTGTGGGAGCACACCAAGGGGATGGCTGGCAAGAGAGTTTGGTGCAGTGGGTATCAGCCCAGGCAGTAGGGTCTTAAACACTGACGGAGAGAGCAGAGGGGTGTTCAGGCAAGGGAGGTGCTGGGCCAGCCTTTGATGGCTGAGGAGCAGTTTGGAAACTCACTGCTGGGGATGTGAGACCATGTGCTCTATTTGTGCTCCTCATGCTGTTCTAGATCTTTGACAAGCCTCCTTGTCCTCCCAGCTGCTCCTCTCACCTTTCCCTCTCCCTCTCCTGTTCAGACCATGTCTCTGCTGCAGCTGAGTGGCCAGACCTGGACTTCTACCTCACTGAAAATTGGGAGGAGTGCAGAGAGAGAAACAGACTCCAGATGATTCAATGTGAATTACACTGAAGCCACTTTACTACTATTCTACTGTCCCTAACATACAGTGTTTCTCCCTGTGCATGCAATCACGCATGTAATGATTGGATAAAGCCTTTGTTCATATGCCTCTAAGAGTTAAAAGTTAGGTTGGATAATAGTCCTGCTCAGTCCTCCCTTCGCAGATGTTGTTGCTCTTCTGCTCCCTTTATCTTATCCTTGCAGAGTTTGTTTTCATCCTCCTTTCATGTTTGGTATGCATCTCCGGGCCTTGTACGTGTTTAATTTATCTCCCCACGTGGCTGGTTCATAGGGTGTCCATTTTCTGCTAAATACATTGTCTCCACAGGGGTGCACAGCTGAGATTTACATGGTGCCTCATCCTGTTCCCTAATCTTCTCCTAACGTCTCCTCATGCCCCTTTGGCACCTGATGCACATGAATGAGATGTTATACAAGACATCGGTCACCCAGCACAGTGAGCCCCCTGTGGCCTTCCTCCTTTTCTCTCTCTCCCAGCCACTCTTTACCTCTTTACTGTGTGTGTGACCAAGCACTGGGACAGGCTGCCCAGACAAGTTTCTGAGTCACCTCTGGAGATACTCCAAACCCATCTGGACACAATCCTGAGTGACAGCTCCAGGGCACCCTGCTTGAGGAGGGAGCTCAAACTGGAGGGCCTCCAGTGGTCCCTTCTAGCCTGAACTATTCTGTGGTTTACTCCAGTGAGACCTTCCTCCCTAGCCTGTGGCAGCTTGTCTCCTGCAAGCTTTGATAAAGACCCTTCCCAGCTGACCGGGGGATGTCCAGCCCCCATATAGAATCATCGTGTGTTAAGGGGTTGTAATGGACCTTAGAGATCATCCAGCCCCAACCCCTGCCCTGGGCAGGGACACCTCCCACCAGAGCAGGTTGCTCAAGTCTTTATCCAACCTAGCTTTGAACACTGTCACCATCTCGTGGTCACTGTAGCCAAGGCTGCCTTGGAGCACTACATCCCCCACCACCTCCTCCCCGTTGGTGAGGACAAGGTCCAGCATGGCACCTCTTCTTGTTGGCTCCTCAGTCACTTGTGTAAGGAAGTTGTCATTGACAAATTTGAGTAACCTCTGGAGTTGCCTGTGCCCTGTCGTGTTGTCATAGACTCACAGAAGCATAGAATTTAGGGGTTGGAATAGACCTTACCGATCATCTAGTCTCAACCCCCCTGCCCTGGGCAGGGACACCTCCTCACTAGATCAGGTTGCTCAAGGCTCATCCAGCCTGGCCTTGAACACCACCAGGGTCAGGGCAGCCACCACATCCCTGGGCAACCTGTGCCAGTGTCTCAGCATTCTTTCAATAAAAAACCCTTTTCTCACATCCAGCCTAGACTTTCCCTCCTTCAGTTTGAACCCATTTCCCCTTGTCCCATCATTGCAATTCCTAACGAAGAGTCCTTCTCCGACTCCTTGTAGGCCCTTCAGATATTGAAAAGTTGCTCTGAGGTCTCCACGCGGTCTTCTCTTTTCCAGGCTGAACAGCCCTAACTTCCTCAGACTGTGTTCTTAGGGCAGATGCTCCAGTCCTCTTATCAACCTTGTGGCCTCCTCTGGACTTGCTCCAACAGTTCTATGCCCTTCTTATGTTGAGGGCAACAGAACTGTGTGCAGTATTCCAGGTGGGTCTCATGAGAGCAGAGGGGGAGAATCACCTCTTTTCACCTGCTAGCCACACGTTTTGATGCCGCCCAGGATTCGGTTGGCTTTCTGGGCTGCTAGTGCACACTGCTGGCTCATGGTGAACTTCTCATCCACTGTCACTCCACACTATCCTCCTGATCAGGTGTCCTGGAGCAGACTCCCACTATAATGTCCCCTGTCCCTGCTCTCCCCTTAACCTTGACCCACAAGCTCTGGGTTAGCTCCTCATCCTTCCCCAGGCAGTTCCATACTCTCCAGTTGGTCATTGACATGGAGAGCTACACCCCCTCCTCATCTCCCCAGCCTCTTTCCTGAAAAGCCTGAAACCTTCCATTCCACCGTTGCAATCGTAGGAGCCACCCAACCATGTCTCTGTGATGTCAGTCACGTCATACCCACACAGACATGTGCACGTGTCTAGTTCCTCTTGTTTGTTCCCCACACGGTGTGTGTTTGTGTACAGGCACCTGAGCTGACCACAGAGGACACATTTTCCTTTTTTTGTCAGATGGACCCCATCAGCCTAGGCTTGCCAAAGTGAACCCGTGGTCTGAGCAACCAAACCCCTGGCTGTGGCACTGTTGCTCTAACCATTTGTTGACCTGCCATGTTCAGTTGGCCATTTCAAGTCTCTCACCTTTGACCTGGAGAACTGACAAAAAAACTGCTTGAGCTACAGAGTCCTTTGCCATATCTGCCAGGGCTTTGTAGTCCCTCTTAATGCTCCCCAGGCTGCTGCTGGCTATATCACTGGCTCCCACATAGAACACTAATAGTGGCTAATAATCTGTGGGTTTGACTAGGCTTGGCAGCTGCTCAGTAACGTCCCCAATCCAGACTCCTGGAAGGCAACACACCTCCCTCAAAGCCTTGCCAGGCCAACAGGTGAGTGTCTCTGTGCCCTTTAAAGTGAACTCACCCACTACTATAATCCACTGCCTTTTCTTGCTTGAACAAGTAATTCATTTCTTTATATCTGGTGCAGGTTGGGTTACTCCTATTATCTCTGGATGTTTTTCCAGCATTTTGGGTGTTGCCTCATTAGCCTGCAGGGCTGCAAAGCTGTTCTGGATAGGGACGTCCAGTTGGGTGGGAATGTCTGGATTTGAAGGAAGACCCTTCCTTTTATTAGTTCCTTTCCTCTTCCTTATATTGATTTTTCTTTCTACTACTTCCCAAGCCCCTTTGTTATTGCCCCACCCCTTCCATGTGTGCCAGGGTGACAGTTTTTGGCCCCCTTTCAAGAGTATAGTTCCCCCACCATAGGGGCTTGAAACCAGCTATCCAACTCCTTCTCAACCTCCCTGATATCTCTCAGCCTTCTGTCTGTCTCTTGCAGCTCGACCACCTGTTTCTGGAAGTGCTCCAGCAGGGCACAGCTGTTACAGCTCAGCAAACTAGCCTTGTTACTGGCTTATAACTAGCCAATACCTTGTTGACTCCTCCAGAAGATGTATTTCTGAGGTGTGATTTTCCTGTGCAAGAGTTGGACTTTGTCTCTCCTGTGATGTAGTTTGCCCAGTCATACACCAAGTCTGCCATTTATTACAGCTTTTGTGAGTATCTCCCACACTGCAGAGATTTACTCATCTGTCATCTCTTTACGCCCAAGAGCCCCTCCAGAGTCCAACATATTCACTTCTTCTGGTTGTCTGGAGAAAACTAGAGGCACCAAAGGGAGTGTAAGCAGCAGGTGGCACACTGCAGTGATGTTTGAGTTTCATGCCTGGCTTACTTTGACTGGAAACATCATCTCCTCCTTCTTATTCTTTGTCCTTCTGCACTGGTAGGACAGAACTTTTCGAGCATTTGCAGAGATTGTCCATCCTGGGATCCACCAAAGCTCCTGCTTGGCCAAGGTGGATGCAGAGTTTCTTCACTTTACTATCAGTTTATTTTCTTTGAATACTCCCTGTGAATTTGACTGGCTACCTTCAAACCCATTCTAGTGTTAAATTCCTGCTCCCAGAGCCTTTGAA